TTTCAACCATCAATATCATCATATATTCCTCAAACTATTCAACAACCTATTATACAGAGAAATATTCAAGAAATTCAACAGCCAATATGGACATCTATTCCACCTGCTGTTCAAAAACGAAGACCTTTATCAGTTCCTCCTTTCGTTCAGCAACCATTTATTCAAACGACAAACCAACAAGCTGTTCCAACATACATTCCACCGGTTATTGAACCATCAATATCGTCATATATTCCACCGGTTATTGAACCATCAATATCATCATATATTCCTCAAACTATTCAACAACCAATATCAACATCAATTCCACCAATTATTCGAAAACCAAGACCATCATCAGTTCCTCCTATTATTCGAGAAAGTCAAAGACCCATATTAACATCAATCCAACCTATAATTGAATCAAGTAAGCCATTAACAGTGCCTACTGTTGTTCCACAAGTGTTTCAACAACCGAATAGAATTTTACCTGTCTGTGATGTTTATAAACCAGGAGGAAGACAAAATGTTCAACAACCACTTTTGCCACCCTATTATTCAAGTAAACCAGATGATAAAGCAGTTTATAATCAATTGATACCTCATCCTGTTCAATGGCAACATCCACAACATCTGCCAGTAATTCAAGAAAAGCCTGTTGAAACCCACAAATATGAACAAATTTGCTATCCTAAACTAGAGCAACCTCTTAAAAAAGCATATCACGCAAATATAGTACAACCAGTCATTGAACAAAAACAAGCACAAATACCGATACAAAAAGCTAAAATACCAACAATTCCTTTAATTAATAGAATTCATCCAGGTCAAACAGTTCAACATGTTCCTTATTATGATGATAAAACTAATCTGTGTCGTGTACCTTGTCCGACAGTAACGAAATATGCTCATTTACCAGCTCATCTTCGACCAAAGTTACTCTGTGTTGAATTACCACCAGCGAGTCCTCTTTCGCCACCAATACTATCACCACCACCTGCGCCAACATCACGAGTGGTATTACTACCACCGCCTCCACCACCATCACGACCACTATTACGACCACCACCGCCTCCCCAACCAACACGACTACTAGTACCACCACCACGGCCTCCGCAACCAGTACGAGTACAACTACCACCACCACCTCCTCCACAGTCAATACGAGTACAAGTACCACCACCACCACCGCCTCCACAACCACCACGAGTAGTAGTACTACAACAACCACCACCGCCTCCACAGCCACCACGAGTAGTAGTACTACAACAACCACCACAGCCTCGACAGCCACCACGAGTAGTAGTACTACAACCACCAACGCGTCCGCAACAAGTACGAGTACATCTACCAGAAAGAGTATCGCAAGGAACACAGGAAAGACAAAAAGCGTATGTTAACTGTGGTTGTAAACCAGGACAATCATTGATTAAAAAAATTGTTTATAAACAAATCGAAGGTTAAATATAATAATTGTATAATTTTTGAATATTTGAGATAATTGTTTTAGAAGAAAATGCAGATGAAAATGAGAAATTTCTTGATCATTCTTCAATTCTTGATCAATTTCAAACACGTATAAGTGTTCGATATGGAAATAGTATCATGGAAGACAGTGGAGAAACATTTACTTGTGGTAATTATTTTATTTATTTTCAATTTAAATCATTTGTTTATTATTATATATTTAGATAATTATAATGAAAAATTGCGTGTTATTGATTTTCCTGTTTATGTATCTGGACAAACCGATCAGCCTGACGACGATTTAATGGATGAATTTTAACTTTTACTTATTAGTTTTCTTTTTTTTTTTTGATTTGTCTTTTTATGATATAAGAACATTTCACTTTGATTTTATTTTTATTTTATTTTAATTGAAATTCTTCTAGGTTATATTATTGCATGTTCTTATAGAACATTGACTTTTTTTTATTCATTTTCATAGAAAGAAAGGTATTTAACCTTTTTATTTCTTTGACTAATTAATTTTCTTCAAAATAAACTAGTTTTTATTTTATTTTATTGTTTTTTAAATATTCTAATTATATAAGTAAGTTCAACAATTAATTAATTAAATCAATGTGACAACTATATTACATTTTATTTATCTGATATTTTATTTAGATATACAAAAAAAAAAAAAACAAGGAATGAAATATGTTATAGAATTGAATAGAATAAAGATATAATATCATTGAGTAAATATAAATAATAATGAAGAAGCAATTATTGGAAATAAACAAGTAAGAGGATAAACAAACCATAGATGTTTTTTTTGACCAAGAGGAATGGTTACAGTTAATTGTCTTGGTGATTCAATAGCTGTTTCAGTTAATGGTGGTGGACAACCTGAACCTAAATAAGGACAAGTTTTATCTGTAAAATGTATAACTGGTTCAGGTAAATAAACTGTTTCATATTGTTGATTATCATTAGATATTGGATCTATATATCGATTATGAATATTTATTGAAAATGTTTTACTATGTTGATATTCGATTTTTGATGAATTATATAATATAAAACAATATGCAAATGGATGAGATTCAGATGAAGATTTTTCAATATCAATTTTACCAATTATAGTTGCATTTAATTTATTTAATTCTTCTGGTTCAATATATAAATATGGAGGTAAACGATGCCAAACAAATAAACATTTAATAGGTTGTTGAATATCAGGATGAATTTGATATTCAAGCCATGTATGATAACCAGTTATTTTATAACGACTTGTAACACTAGGTGATGATTTAATTATATTTGGATAGAATATAAAATAAATTATCAATGATATTAACAACATTTTCATTTTAACTATCAGTTAAACAATTATGTATAAAGATAACCTTTTTTCATTCATTTTCAAATTTAACTTTCTTTCATTTTTATTGGAATACTATTGTAAACCATTGAATTATATATGATCATAGATGTCATTCATAGACAAAGATTTTCAACAATTATATTTCAATCTGATTATATTTGACATAACGTATTTCATAAACAACTATTTAAGATAAATCGTAATAAATTATTACAACAAAAAAAAAAAAAAAGATAATTTTGATAAATATTATTTTATTTTAAATAAGATTATTCAACAATCAATGAGAAAACATAGTATCTATTCATATTAGAAATGAGAATATATTGTCATATATGTCATTTTATCATAATTTATCAATTTTGTTGATTGATATAGAAAACATTGACTAGAAATAACCTTCAATATTCTAGTTCGTCACTTCAATATCATATTACATGTAACTTACATTCTGAATTATAGATATTTATTAACGAATACTTGAAATTCATGGATTTCATTATTTATAAGAAAACTCTCAAATAAATAATCTATTTAATTATTACTGTTAGCTTCAAAGAAAAAAAAATTGTAGTGACCAAAATAATTCACCTTGCAATATCATCTCTTCTTATCAATAGACATATTATTCATTTACCCTATATTATACGTTATTAATCTAGCTTACTATGACCAGTTTAGCTTTGTTTAACATGATGATAGGTTCATCAAGTTCGAAACTCATTTCCTTGTGCATTTATAAAACTAATTGTTAGGAAATCTACCATATATCATAAATATAGTTAAACTCAAACAGTCAAGACCATTCTTCTTTTCTTGATCTGCAATGCTAAAATTTTTACATGTATACTCTCGAGTCTCATTCGTTCATCTTTCTCCCTTTCATAAATCTATTTTTCCCAAGAACGACTAGTTTTTCTAAGAAAAAAAAAAAGACTCCGAAAATGTGTTTCGGACTCTTAGCAAATGACAATTGAAATTTTCAATGAAAATCTAGAATTGTTTATAATCTATCATAATAATATCAACAATCAAAAATGAGTCTATCATAAAGATTTTCAGTTGGCTTTTAATCTACTGATACAAGTTGTTAACAGAGTAGCATGTTTCAAAATTTTCTTTCTTTACATTTGATAAAATTTTCTCTTACAAAAATAAATTTTTCGGAGGTATCTTCAATAGAAAATAATCAAGATATGTTTAATAGAATAACAGTGGATAAAGCAATAATCGATATGGAGAAAAGCATGAAATTCTTTTTTGAAATATGAAAATTATTGTTTTTTTTGTTCGTCATAAAAATTATTTTCGAAGATATGCGGGTGTGATTGTGTCGGAATAAAGAAGAATAAACCACAGCCATAATCGAATAAAATTCTCTATTGATTCATTAAAATAACTTAATGAACATGAAAATTTATCTACATAATTTGCACCTTTTATTAACTCGTTAATAATATTATTAAAGATATTTGTTTTAGAAATAATTGATTTATTTATTCATTGATGAATTATTTGTTTGATTATTCGATAATAAAGAATAATTTTCTAAAATAATATTTAATTAAACGATATTTATCTTTAATCAATATTATATTATCAATCATTGATGAATATGATGAAATTATTTTATTATAATTTGACTTTTTAAGTTGTTGAACTATTTTATTTTCTTTATTGTTAAATTTCGTCAATAATTAAAATAGATTTTATTTTATAAATATTGCCAAGAAAAACAAAATCCTAATGAAGATATTTATCGATTGATCGAAAACATTCTTTTAATATATGTCTAATCATCATTTAACAAATTTTACAAATCTTTTAAAATAATTTAGTAAAATATTCAACATAACTATTTATATTGAAATAATTAACAGATTATTCTAATAATCAAAGATTAAATTCCATTAACAAAATTATAATAGAAAGTTAGAAAATGATCAAGAAGTTTTTCTCTCTTTCATCATACAAAACGAAATGGTTGACTATTGTTCATTTAAAAAAAAGCATATTTTCACCGTCGGAAAGAGGAAATGAAGATGTACCGCACTTCCAAAACTTAAATTGACGTCTTTGACAATCAACATAATTCATAAGGGGACTAAGGGTAATTTTCAACCATCAGGTACGTATTTCAACTGCTAAATGAAGATCTAGAAAACTGTGCAAGGCTCAAACTTTTATGTTTGTGCGTTCAGAAGTGTTACGCATTTTATCCGAAACTCTTAACTGGTACTTCTATTAATTTCTGTGAAAAAAATCACGTTTTTTTTGCCTTTTTCTTAGTTTAAGAGAAACTAATTTTTCGGCGTCTTTTTTTTGAGAAAACTGATCAAGAATACTATAGAAAAACCTCTCGGAGAAGTGTATAATATACTGTTCGATGTGTCTTCATCTTCTCTTTCCAACGATTAAAATTGTAGTTGTCTATCTTGTTTCTATTGAAAATTATTCGAAAAATATCCATCGACTTTTTTTTTTTTGAAATAGTCAATAGTTTTAAATAAAACTAATAGAAATCCCTTTACAACTTTAGGAACAATCTTTTTTTTTCAATTGAAACCTTAGGGTTCTTTAATTAATTGACTTCTTTAATTAATTCAAAATGCTCTTCAAGAGTCCCTATCGGATTCAAACATTATAATAAAAAGGAAAATTTTCATCATAGTTAGGAAAGAATAATTAGTTGGAGAAATAAAATAGAAAAAGTATTTATATCTGAAATGTAATTAATTTACATTGATATAAAATATAATATTATTTACTTATATTTAAATTAGAATAAAATGAATAAAAAAAAAATTTTTGTTTTTGAATAAATAATTAAACTTACATTGTTCGAGTTTATTTTTATAATAATTTTCTTTCGATTTATTTATTTTGTTAATCATAGAACGACATTCTATAAATAATATATTTTAATAATAGAATTGATTAAAAAGAAAAAATAAAAAAAAAATCTTCGATTTGAATCGAAATAAAATTAATTGATATTGTAGTTTTCATTTTTGAAATAGATGTCTTTAGTTATGATTTTAATGCATTATCTTTATCATCATTTATTGATTGAACATGTCTTTTGAATGTGAATAGATTTACTGAGTAATATTATTTAAAATTTGTTTAATTATGAAACATTGATTTGTTCGTAAATTCAAATATTGATTTATTTTAAAATATATTGAATTAAATGAATCATCATATATTTCATTATTTAATGATTATGATCTGATAACATTTTTTCAGATAAATCATTTATTAAATTCAAATGAATAATCTATTAATAAAGATTTAACAGCTTGATTTACAATCGATGAATCATTTATTTCAGTATCTACAATTTAAATTATTTTATTTTATTTACTTCGAAAACAATAAATTTACTTATTACATTTAGCTTTTTTTGTTTTAGACCAAACAAATTTGAATTATTATCATTACTCAATAAATAATATTTAGTTCTTCTTTTAAATATTTGTTTAATCTACTTTAATTTTCTCAATTACACTGTTTTTCTTTTTCTTTAAACAATATCATCAGACATTTGTAGAAATTCATTTAACTTAATTAGAGTTTATGCTAATTAAATTGACAAAGGATTTATTTACAAAGTTTTTTTAATTTTATTAAAAATTTCTCAAAATAATCCATACTAAATGATAATTTCTTAATTAAACAATATTTATTCTATAAATTTATCAAAGATTTAAATACAATAGTGACTATTTATTTTAAAGATCGATATATCATTATATTTATATATTTAAGAATTTTTTTCATCAACTTTTTAACAACAATGAATTTTTCATAAGGAGTTTTAGAGTAAACATATATATACTAAACTATTACGATATTGATATAGGTATATCATCGAAATCAATTCAATTTGTTAAACAATAGAATAGTTAAGATTAATTTTCGTTTATTATTATAATAAATGTTATGAGAAAATT